GTAGGTGATCAACCTTCAGTGCCAATCACACGCCGTCGACTTTTTGGGTCTAAGACATGTCGGTTTCCTCACGATGTTTTCCTTCACCGTTCGAGCCAATGTTAAATGCACACATAGAAAGAAAGCCCATTGGGCACTGACATCGCACGCTGAAGCCACTAGGCCAACACTGCTACTGGAATGAGAAACTGCGAGCAGAATTACACAGTCATGGCTCATACATGATATTCATCACGTTGTATGCATTTAATATTATTAAGGATTTTTCAAAATGAATCACAAAATTGTTTCTCTGAAATACAAAGTTTTTATTTCATTCATCACATTTTATAATACAATGCACTTATGGTCTAACTATAATAATAATTCTCACCTGAAATACAAAGAAACGACATTTAATGTTCACTTATCCTTTAATCTATCGTTTTACAATACAATCCACTAAATTAATCTACACGTCATCCGCCATTTTATCGCGTGTCACTCCGACGCGTCAAATTCAAATGAATGAAATATCATTCCATTACATATAAATTTATTTTTCAGGATGAAGCTCGCCTAAAGACAACAGTTATAAACGCTTCGCCCGTCGATTACAAAGACGCGAACGCCAGACTTATTAAAGGCATCAAAGCTTTGAGTGGAGTCGAAATATAAGCGAAAAATTCCGGAGATTATGAAACATGATATATTAAAAGATGTGATTTAAAAAATATGTTGTACTATGTTTGAATAAGGAAAAATTGTGTTTTTATAGGATTACTGTTGATAATTTAAATCCTAGTTTGATTTTTCTACATTAACTAAGAAATAATTTAAAGTCTGAAAATACTATTTTTCATAACAAGGCGCAATATTTTTTAAACTAAATGTATATCGAGTTGATCACGAGTTTTCATGTTAAAAGTTAAAAACTTTAATCTTATTATACAAAACTGCTGATTGGTTTGTGATTTGTAAAAGTGAATTATGTATTATAAATTAGCCATTAAAATTCCAGTATAGTGAATAAAGTGTGATTTTTAAAATGTATTTTGTATTATGACATCCCAAGTTGTATTTTAACTCAGCAAAGTTATGTTTGCTGTTAAAAGTTGTACAATCAGTTTTTATTGTTATTTTTGTGTGTTCCTAGATGTAAGCTTCACTGCAATGTCCGTTGGCAAACCATTTTTAAATTTATGTATAAATACCTACCAACATAGCAGTAGGATCATATCCGCTACATTTTTGACACATGTACTTAACGCTTAGGCTCGATTCCAAATTTCACCCTCAATACAGAAATCGAGCCAATCCTATCTCTAAATTCATCATAAAATCTTTTCAAACTGATATAAATGAAAACACTATCAAATATAAAATACAAAAATTACAAAGCTTCGACTCAGGCTCCAAACGAATGTCAAATAATACCACATAAAAGTGAATACGAATGACGTTTACAATTAATTTCTAAGTAGCAATTTATTTTGAAGTCAGCACAAACAGATGAAAATGAGAGTAATAGTGCGCTTTGTAGCAAAGTATAGAGAAGATTGGTATGGATACGAAAGTTTGCAAATCAGTATGGACTTGAACAAAGCGACAATTCAATGATATACGCTATTTAAATCACTCAAATTGTATGAAAATCATCTCAATTGTCTATTATTATATTGAATATCTAAAAATGCATAATAATGCGATTTTACACTACTATAACGGTACTCACGTCGATAGAACTACATTGCATGGAGTGTTCAGAGTTCGGATTAATATTTCGGATTATTATTCGGACCTCGACGTCCACGTTTTTAAAGCAGTTATTGCCGAGCACCACTAGAAGTATTTCCCAGCCAAGTCAACTTAGTGTACTTTAAGAAAAGAGCGTACCAACAGGCCGGCAACACACTTGCGACCCCTCTGGCAATGTGAGTGTCCATGGGCAGGGTATCACTATCATCAGGTAAGGCTCCGTTTGCCTCCTGTTATATAAAATTACACAATATTTGGCAATATTTAATTATGATCCAAGTGATGATCCGTTAGATATTGATAATTTGATAAATGTGATGTGGAGAAGTGTTATTGCAAATTATGAAAAAGTAGTAGCCGATCCCGAACCCTCAAATATATCAACTTCTTAGATAACACCTCACAAATTAATTATTTTAAGTAAGCAATTTTAATATACTATTTTATTTGTGTCATCAATCATTCAGGGTTCAAAATAAATAAAACAACGCTTTCACTATATTTATTACTTTATTCAATCTCATTGATATGACATCATTTGGCTAAAGGAATCAAGTTGTTAATTACTTAGGCAATTGCAGCTGCTTTAATACTACGAAATAACTTACAAAATAACTGAACGTTAATTGACATTTTAATAAGTCAAAATACTGTTTATGAGAATTTTAATGCAACAAGCCTCATTTCTGGTTAACATTGACTAGCGCAGACAAATGCATATTGCCCAAGCACATTAACGTTGCACAAAAACAAGTAGCTAGATTATCTATGAAAATGTACACTTAAGTAGATACAATATTTAAATCACATAGTCTGTACTGTAACATCGATTAAAACAGTCAACATATTAAATCAATCAATGGTTATCAGATGCAAGCGATGATTCGATGTAACACTTAGTAAATGTTTTTATTATAATATTTCGCAGTTCAGACTAAACGAAGTAAACGTCCTGAGCAAGAAAACTTTTCATCAAAACGTTGCTAAAACATTACAATTAAGAATATCTTTGAACTGTTTTTCAATCAATGGCAGTGCGATTTTAAACAGATTTCTTGACAAATGCAATATAATTAGTAATAGATTACTAAATTCTAACATATAAACAATTATCACAAACCAAATGATGTAAATTTCATAAAATGTATAAAATTAAAGCATTAACCAATAAATAATTGATTTCGAAATAGTGTTTAAGATAAACGATTACAGATTACAAAAAATACCATCTTTTCTACAGAACTATAAACACTATTTTAGTTTAAAAGATCCACATTTTACGTGTGAAGTTAATCCAAATAGTTATATAATACAGTGTTCATATTTAATTGTACTTTATGAATGAAAATCTATTTTAAATAGGAATAAAGTATTTCAATACGTACGTATATATCGCAATTGCAATTCAAACGCAAAATGTAGATCCGAAGTTAGAATACTTAATTAGTTGCCTTAGAAGTTAGAATTTTAACATTAACCTACAGATGTCCTAGCGATACAATTATAATTCATAGACAACTATTATTATAAACATTAAGAAAATATCTCGTGAAATAATTTTCAATTCCAAAAAGGATATTTATCATTTCTTAACATAAACGAGATTCCCGACAGTATCACCGAGGCCGAACGGGACCGAATCGATCGGTACACGTGACAATAAATAATAAAATACATTCAATATACCCTAGCGAAGGTAACTTCGACACAATTAATTCCATTATATCTCAGTAGTCATAGCCCGTTAATCAGAATCGCAACTACGCGAACGAGGAGCCGACTCCACGTCGCAGAGATTCACTCAAGCACACTCGTTACACTAATTGTGCAGTAGCTCTAGAATACAAGTTCGTAGTACAAAACGCAGGTCAGGCCGCTCTCATTCTCCGAGGAGAGAGGAGAGCCGCCGAGAGCTGGAGAAGAGAAGAAAGGAGACAGAGAGAGAGGTGCGGGCGACCGGCGCCGCCCGCCGCCTGCCCGCCGCCGCGCTGCCGCCGCACTACACGCCACCGACCGGTCTACCACACATCTATTTACAACCCGCTAAGGACCAACCGATAAGTTAAAGCGAATAAATAACATCGACGCTCTTTGGTACGGATAATACCCGAGGGACCGCCGATCGTCGACCGACGCCTTCGCGCCGAACGTGCCCTAAATAAACCTTAAAATTAACATCAACGCAATACGGCCGAGAGGCGATCTTAGTATTGATCTAGGTAATTTTGACGAGCGACGAGCGCTAATTTAGAGGTTACATCCAAACGACTCCGCCTAAACGAGATTCTACATTCGAACGGGCGAAAAAGCGCCTTCGGTGAAATATTCTAATACTCAAACATATCCAAGTTAAAGCTTAAATAAATTAAAATAACTTACTAACTAATAAAAAAAAAATATTTGTAAACGTCTTCGAAATCATACGAAAAACTAAAAGTGTATTGTTTGTACAATATAATCACAAACTGCTCCGTAAAGCAAAGAAAGGTTTAAAATAACAAAAACAAATGCGAGTCGTACAGTATCCGTGCGTTATCGCAGCAGACCTAATGCCATTACCCGCACGTTGGCAAACTGATGCGCCATACTGTGCACGTACATAATCCAATGATTTACCTTGCACATTTAAAAGAGGCCTTCACTATGACAAGGTCAATTTGCCAACGTGTCGATATATTTGTTTACACCACCGCACGTAACACGCAACTTACGTTACGATATTTTAACAAATTTCAAGTAATTAAGTCAATATAAAATGACGATTTCTTGAAACTTACTAACAACAATTGGACCACATCATTTAATTAGAATATAAAATATAAATAATGATTAAAACAATATTTACCTGCGATTCGAACAGTTCGGTAAAAATTGGAATGAAACCATTCTTAATGTATTCTTAAATTCTTGTGATATCAAGTCTCTCTGACAAGCCATTAGGGCTGTTGACTCTACCGTTCTGTTCGAGTAGCTCCAGAAACCCAGAGCAAAAAACTTAATTACAAAAAATACAAGCGGAAACAAAACATTTTGAGATCTAGTTTCCGCCACCAATATTTTAATTTACAAAGAATACCAAAAAATTATAAACCCAATATACTCACAAAGATGTCAAAGTTGCGCCAGCCTACACGTAATAAACGTGGGGTTGGTCGCTAGTGGTCCACTCTTGTGTGTGCGTTAGTGCGGTGTGCGTGTGTGTGTGTGCGTGTGTGCGTGCACTAGCGGCCTCACGGCACGAGGTCGGGCAGGCGCCCGCGGCCCTAGGGGCGCGCACTCGCTTCACCGCTCACGACCTGCAAATTATTTCTCGTACAGTCACTGTAGCTATTGTCAACATCTTTAACCAAATGAGACGTTTCACCGAGTATTAAACGTAAACGCATAGCCGAAGAAATGCTGAATAAGTGTTTTTTTTGTTATTTTTCATGTTTGTTTTTATTTTTAAACAAGAAAAAAATTAAGAAACTATAAAATTCACTAAAGTTTACGGAAGCGGTGTCAGAGTACAGGGAATAATTACTCGTTAATTTTTTTTGAAGTTATACTTGACCAACACACTAAGGTTAGCTATAGTCAACATTTTATTTTGTGATATTTAAATAAACTTTTCTTAACTATTTAACGTTATAATAAAACTTTCAATGTATTAAATACCTTTTTTCTATAGTTAGTGTCCTTTTTTATAAAAACGTAGAATAAAATATTTGAAAAGATTTTTATCTTGTTAAGTTAAAGAAGTATCACTTCTAAAGTACATAAGTACACACACATTTTTTTTATTAACTTAATTAATTTTATTCTATTGTAAGTATACGTTTTGCTGACTGTCGCTTGGAACTTATTTTTTTTCGATATAAACACCTGTTCTATTTCAGACTAGTCCATCTTTATTCCCAAATATCATTAATCTGGATGGTTTTTTGTGGAAAAGATGTATGAAGACATAAAATATGCCTCAAGTAAGTACTTGAACAAACATAATTCTGTCATATTCATTTCTTTAACTGACATGAAATTACAAACCGTTTAATTTACTATTTGAAACTTAAATGTGTAACTATAAACTTTGGATTTTGGTTAGCTCTTGACTGTAGTGAAAACAAATAAACAATTGCGGGGAACTGGTCATATATAGATCAGCCCATGCTGAAATTATACAATCTACACTTAAGTCGTACTACTACACTACGTTCAAGTATTACGTAACGAATTTGGAGGGGGTTCCTTTTGTAAAACGTTACGATGTGGGGCGGGGATTGAATTACGCGTTATTGTTAATATTATTGTCGATTTCCAGTACTTTACACCACATAATGGTAACTTTTAGGTATAAAGAGTCACTAGGTGGTCACGAAACGTTTTACTAAACTTGGGTACAGAAAAACGTTACGGCGTATTACATGGGGAGGGGGGGTCAATAATCTCCAAAAATTGCGTGACGTAATACTTCAACGCTCCCTAATGCAATAAATTATTTTTAACGCACATAGAACATTTTGTGCAAGTATTCTTTCTGCCTACCAACCCTCAACAATTATTACTGATTACTGCTTTTGCAAGAGCGTACCCAGTGTATAACCCATAAAAAGCCCCGAGGGGTTATACACCAACTGCCATTATACTCAGCCGCGAAGGCTGATACACACCCACAAAATTAAATAGCTATGTCTTATTAATTGATATTCCAAAACTAGTCATAACTACGTGAAACAATGAACTGCTAACATGAATTCATGAGATCTTGAAAATTCTTCCCTAAATTTTTTACGGGTGTAAAATGATAAAATCAAGAGAAGAAAATATTTTATTTACACACATGGCAAAAAGGAAATCAAAAAAATAAAAATCCACATAAAAACCACAATTTATTTAAATAAATATATACAAAATATCTCATGCATGTGTGTGATAGTTTAATGGCTGACTCACTTTCCGTTCCTTGTAGTAGAGCTCCTCACTCTCCTTGTCACAGAGCAGCAACACGACTGCGCCGAAAAGGAAAATGGCGGCGCCCCAACCCACGCCGTACGCCCAACCGAATTCCCACACCGATCTGTTGCCTGTAGAAGACATTATTTAATATTGCAACAGAGATGTTTGAGTTATTTTAAGTACGTTTTATTTGAGTAAATACATACATTCTCTCTTTTGCACACGCAAACACGCACACACTCGTTAAAACATACGTACGCACAGACACACAACTATTAAGTACAAGTACCGTATAAAAAATATAATATTTTACTAGGATAGGCGTTCATGGTATTTTTTTGTTAATTTTTATACATTTGATTTTATTATATTTATAAAAGCTATTAGCTAGGTAAATAAAATAATACAATGCCGTTGCAAAAATATAACCGACTTTAAAAGTAGTAGAAATATATTACAAAATAGGTCACGTTATATCTTTATCATCAGTTTACCAAATTAGCTGTTTCGAAAGGTTCTTGTTTTTCAAGTGTGTCTTTTGGTTTAATATGCCTAGAAAGAACATAAGTGAGCACTTTTTAGGCGAAGTATGAGACCTCGTTTCACTAGAAAATACACCTTAATACATAGCAATAAAGACGAAATCATAATCCTGGTAAAACGTGCAATTAAAATTCTTATACTTATTATTTAGATATATGTATATACAGTCAAAACCGTTTATAACGACATCGTTTACAACGACCTATCGGTTATTACAACCAGATTGTATGGTCCCGTCCGAATCCCTAGTAAACTATTCAGTAAAGAAACCGCTTATAACAACATCGGATTAAGCGACATATCGCTTACAACGACGAAAGTTTATCGATATTCATCGGATATAACGACCAACCGCTTCTTGTCTCAGTAAAACAAAACAATACAAACGATTTTAAATTTTATTTATAAGCATTGAATGAATATTTAGGCATATTATTACCTACGCACTTTCTCCCAACGAACAGTTTCAGCCAACAACGATTTCCGAGGCTCTTAACGCTGTAACGATTTTGCAAAAAATTTGTTGCCTTTAACGAACAGTTTGATACTGGTGATACTCATACCTTGAGGAGTATGAAACGTAAAATGCAAAAAAATATTTGAGACTGGGCTAAAAAAAAACAGACTGACTGATTACTTTTGTACCTAATTATTTCGTAATAAATATTTTTGTTTCTTTTTTGACTCCTTTACATATTATAATATTAACAAACCATATTATAACCCATACCTACCTATTCTAGATCGATAACTATGTACATACATATGTACTGTACTTGTGTATATGACATTGCTTATAACGACTATCGGATATAACGTCGGCAACTATACGGTCCCTTCAATGTCGTTATAACCGGTTTTGACTGTATATATATTTTTTCTAATCGGATAAACACACCCTTGTTTTAATGGCTCCTGTTATCACTGCTTAATTTACAAAAACTGATTATATTCATCAGAAATATTATCAACCTTTAAATAGTAATAAGTTAATAATTTCTATTTAATGTGAATAAACTTACCTAAATTCAATTCGGCGGCGAAACAGACCGGGTATATCACCAGCGCTATTAAGATGCACATTACTGAAATAATAAAGAGATTTATTTTGCTTTTGCCAAGAATGGCGAATGTGAAGCCTCGAGGCCTTAAGTACTGGGTAAGGAGGAGCTAGAAGATAAGGAGGGCGCTTGTAGTTTATTGTTTATCAGAATGCCAAATCCTAAAATGACTGCTTAAATATTTCAAAAAAGAAGTGCTCTTTCTGGAAATATTTATAGCTAGTCCAGAAAGAAAAATGGCAAATTAATAAGAAATGTGTCTCCTCCATGACTTATAAGATTTCGCGATTTCAGCGGTATTAAAAGAAAATAGCATATTTTTCTAAAAGAAAGTTAATACTTAAACACAACAAGTTTTAATATCTGTTACAAGATGTTTGTAACAGATATTAAGATAAGTGATATTGTAAAGTGAAAAAGCAAGCATTTTGTTTTTCTATAACTTAAGAGACGATACACAGCAATTAACTTCAAGAGACAATAGCGGGAATATTGTGAAAGCTAAGTGTGAAAGTGTTAAACGCAACTATTGTAGTATTTAGAGAATGCATTATCTTAGTAAATATAGGACGTTCTCATATTTACACTAACTTGTTTTATGTAACATAAAAAAAACATATAAAGATATACTAACGTGCAAGCGACATGGCAAGAACGGCGAACCGATAGTATCGGAACTTTGTACGGTGATCCGCTGACCGTAGCCCTAGCCCCGTAAGTAGGGCTCCGCACACGTCTGCCGCCAGCGTTGCTACGCACAAGCCGGCTGCCGCTCTGAAAACACAAAAGTTAATTATACATAACGATAATAATATCAACCGGCGCTACAACCTTTTTATGGGCCACGGATTTTTGCTAGTTTAATAGATACGTTTTAGGCCGAGAAATTTGGGCCTAGGACATGGCTGTTTCCTATGTTTTCCTTTACAGTTCAATTAAATTTCATAAATTATCCTTATAAGTAATTAGCTTTATATACCTATTAACCCTTATTTAAATATCTTTCATTTATTTGATAGCCAATGAAGTACATTAAAAATGTTTTCGAACTCTAGACTGTGACTTGTGAGTCCAAAAAAGTGAGGTTTCACACCTCACTTTTTAATCAATGACAAAAACTACGAAATTGCAGTATAAAAAAATGAAAGCATTATTCATCAATCAACAAGATACAAAAAAGGTTGGATATTAAAAGCCGTTCAACTAGATGCTTGTATAACTTCAGTCACTTGTAGTTCAAAGAGTTTATAGACAAAGGAATCTTTTATAAGTTGTAATTAAAACCGCCAATGTTTACCTCGCAGTTTGTCGCAGATGTCCGCACTTTGCATATCATTATCTCGCCAGCTGAACACAGCTTCGCTAACCGAGATATGCTCGATGACCTTGCTCCATATTTACTCATATTTATACAATGTTTTTTATTGTTAAATTGTTGTGACAGAAACTATAATCAGCTCATAAAAGATTCAAATTAACTGTACTAAACACAATATTTTTTTACCAGTTCCAGAATTTATTTCTCTTCGCATCGACACTGTGTGGGCCACAATTTTAAATTCCGACAACAGCAATGTAAAACATAACCTAAAATCCCATAAGAGGTGCTGGTTATGAGAAATAAGATCTGTTACTAAGAAAAAACATAGTTTTATTCAAGGACTTGGAAGCTTAAAATTCCTTGCTCGTATAAAAACATTGAGACGGGAGTAAGCGCTATTCATTTCGCAAATTGCAAAGTGCCTACTGCAAACTGACAAACAGAAATTATGAATCGCTTTTAATTTAATTTGACAAGTACACCACTCGACAGCGAGAGCTCGCTGCCAATTCTAGTCGTAATTTAAGAGATTCCTACCTTTATTACTTATTATATCCTTGATTTCTTGTTTATTATGAGCATTTTGAACAAGAAAGTTTCGGGTAGACCGTGAAACAACTCGTATCGGGGACACGAAGATTGTATTATTGTTTGCATATTAAAAATCATACAAGTAGTAATATCGGTTGAAAGGTACAAAAAGTGGTATAATATCACGAGATAAAATAGTGTAAATGTTATTCCGCGCACAGATATTGTAAAAGCATTAGTAATTCTCAAAATCACAGCGCTTTATCAGAGTGACTTTTCGAGTTAAATTTAATTGAATATCCTAAAGTGCAGGAATTGTGCAGTGCTCAATACAAAAACAAAGAAGAACACAAAAGTGAAATAATAAAGTGAAGTAATTTGTGCGTAAAAGCAACGGTACACGTGTCAAGACACTGGTATAACACTGACTCATTCTGTGACTGTGACGCGTGTAACTTGTACAACATTTTCGATTAAATACAGTAAAGACAGGTAAACTACAAGAATACCTGGTCAAAATAGGATTACGGCTAAAACAGTGGAGGATACGTGCAAGCCCAGCGAAATCAGTCCACGTTCATATTAAGAGGAGAGTGTTCATCAGTGAATCTGGAAGCAGCTGTCTTGCCAAAACAGACTACAGCCAAATACTTGGGCATGCACCTGGATAAACGCTTAACATGGCAAGACCATATAAAAGTCAAGAAAGGGCATGCTAATAATAAGCTTCGTAATGCTGTCCATAAATCGACTACTATCGAGGAAGACATTAAAAATTTACCAAAAAATACAAAACGAGACTTCAGCAACACGTCAACCCCCTAGCTTCGGGCCTCTTGGAAACGGCGGACTGTGTGTTTCAGCTGAGAAGGGCGAGACTTGCAGTATGATAGTTTGCGAGTTAAGGAGGGAAAACAAATTATTGTATTTGCATTCCCTAATTGCATCAAAATCTGATAAAAGCCAAGAGGCTGATTGCAGATGGGTAAAAAAAAATGTGTGCGTGTACTAGGTGTACACACGTAAGAAGTGAAACTTATATAAAACCTTTGTTGTACGCAGAGCCATAATTGGTTTGTTTTAAGTTTAGAGGTCCGAAACTATTTCTTTAAACACAGTAAATTTTGATACACTGCCTAGCATACAATTTACAAATTAATTGCTGCAAATTGCGATTAGCAAATTTCAAGTCGAAAATGTAATCCGTTGTCAAACTTCAAAGTCAAAAACATACTATATGTCATATTTTAACGCCGATAAAGAAGTTTGACTTCAAAAAGCAACATGGCGCGTAACGGAAAAATGTGACGCGTAACGCAAAAATATTTTTTATTAAATTTTTTTCCAACCCCGATAAAGAAGTTTCACTTCAAAAAACCAATTATAAGCTTAATATAATTATTTAAAGCGATTCTTTAAAGACCTTTACAAAATGTTTCAAAGCTTTAAGTTTCCGTTAGTAGGACATAAAACAAAGAATTCAGTAAACTTTCGAATTAAAAATGTTTTTGTATTCTCAAAAACAGTGCGAGCCGCTGTCCTTGACCCAACAAATCGATTGCGACTTGTTTAATCACAGTTGTCATTTTAAGAACAAATAGGCTATAGACATGCCATCGAATTTTCGAAGCGTCGGTGTTTAATACGATATTGTTTTTCATAGACCCATATCGAATATATTTTTCTAGTAGGTAATCGTTTAGTTATCGATTCAAATCCTGCTCGGTATAAAACTGCAGTATTGCAGTAATTCGGTCAAGTAGTCCAAACAAACTATCGGGGCTGAATAGCTCTTCAAACTCTCCGCTATGTTACCTATCAAAGGCGCATGTAGCGTGCAATACGCAACTGCCGGAACGATTTTGTATTGACCACTTGATCGAAGTTTGGTGTCGAGTATTACATTGTTAACTATAATGAAGTGGTATGGTTTAAAACATTTTTAAAGGGCCCAGTGAGAAAGGAAATTTCACACAAACTAATCAGACAGATTAAAAGTTTGTGTTTGACATTTACTTAATAGGATATTATTTTTAACGACGCTTTCTTGAGGCCAATTTGCGATATTAGATTAGATCACTCAAAAGCGATAAGGCCGCCAGATAACCCCTCCTATTCATTTAATTACGTCATTTGTATTATATTTATGTATGCGACGAAGTGTTAATAAATAAATACATAAATAAATATTACCTGAAGTCGTTGTAAGAAGTTGAGAAACATTTAACCTAAATAGAACCTAGAAGTTAAATTTTACTTAATGTTACTATAAACTCTGGAATCAACTAGAAAGAAAATATATCTGTAACTAGTAAACATTATCGCTTACTTAATGTATGGCGCGGGCCTCGCGGCGTAGCACCCTGGCTGAGCAGTGATGTCGAAAGGCAAAGGCGTCGGCGCCTCTGGATCTATGCAGTGCATAAACAGGCCCTGCCGCCAGCCTGCAGCCATCAGCCAGTCTGCTGATGCGAGGCCCAGAACCATCAGTATAATCACCAGCAGGCCGCATATTAACGCGATTACCTGAAAAGTGCAAAATTAAATTTAAAACGGCTCACCAAGGATTGTTTATAACATACAATAATTAACATTAATCTATTTCTTTTCATTATAACATAATTTAAACAATTTAATAAACACAATTGTACTAGATAAAGGTAGCAGTATGATACGACTGACCTTTTCTTGGTTTTACTAATCGGATCGTGTAAGTAATCAGTAACTTTTGCGATGTAAAATATATTGAACTTAGAAACTTTAGACTACGAACTTATGTCTAAAGATTATCTTCACATAGAAATGAGATCAGCTGACTGTCATAACTCATTTGCATGCAACTATCAATGGTGCTATTATTCCGGGATGACATCACTTTACATGGCTTTGCATAAATACCGTCGTATTTAAGGCTTATCCATTTAAGATCACATCTACGATGTCCTACTTCCTTAGCTGGATGTAACTTTTTTTTATTAAAGAAGTGTTCTATACGAATATAATAATGGGGTTCGGCGTGTGACTCCAACATAATTATCATACAGAGGGTTCAAAATTACATCTTGAAACAAATATCCAACTGCGTGGTTTATAAAAACATCGGAGATTCATGAGCACCTCAAAATCAGGACTGTCAAAGAGGAGATCAAGACCTGGAGTATGAAATACAGAAAAAGGCTAGAAATTTTTGTTTTGACAGAGAGGAGCTGTCTCGATGGAGATTTTGCTCTGAACGCCTAACAGCTCTCAACACATCTGCTCATAGTCTAGCTGACTGATGATTGCAAGATAAAGACTTATAAAAAAATGGTTGGCTGATTTTGGTAATATGTTTAAAAATTATGGAAACAGATGCGCAACACAAAACTGTAACCATGTACATACAGTATGCCCTATTGTTCCGTACCCTCATTACACTACATACGTGAAAAGGACGCTAAGTTCTTGCTGTACATAAAGAACGTCAAAACAAAGCACGCTCGCTCGCGTTGCGCACCTCGTGATCCATCAAACCCTCGAAAGTGGAACTAGGAATTATAAAGGAAAACGCGAGGGTAAGAAAAACGTGAAAGTGTCTCGAGGGGAGGCGGGGTGTTGGATCGATCGGAATACGACCCCACGCGAGTGGACCATCAGCTGTTAAGACCAACACGGGGCTGGCGATAGAATTGCACCCCTAAGTTTCGTCGCGTCGCGTCCTCCCTTTTCCTACAAATCTCAGACGCTTTAATATTTTCCTTGCACTTTGCAGACAAAATCGATGTCGCGTGCGAATCACGCAAAGCTAACACAGACAGTGGCTTATGTTAAATAAATCTATATTTTGTTTTGTTAGGGTTTTTTTTATTTCTTAATTTACTTGCAATAAAAAGAACAGTTCTCACAAATGAATGTTAATTTCTTTTTATAGAACAGGGGGCAATCGGGTAGGAGGCTCATCTGATGTTAATTGATACCGCCGCTCATGGACACTTTCATTGCCAGAGGGTTCGCGAGTGCGTTGCCGGCCTTTTAAGAATTGGTACGCTTTTTTCTAGAAGGACCCTAAGTCGAATTGGTTATGGCGTATATTAATGAGAATAAACACAAGGGAAGAGAAGCGCAGATTAGAATGACTTTGTTCCAATGTGCGTGATGTCAACATATCCCTACAAGCATTATAACCTAATCAATATTGACCCTTAAATGTAAGTACCGGAAATGTTAATAAAAGCCCTGCCATTCATAAAATTTTAATGATTTGATAATTTGGGGCCACGTGCACGTGAATAATTCCGCTTTATTCAATTGCAGTTCATTCAAGTAACAAATTATAATATATTTAGATCAGTTAAACAGCCAAGAAAAATCTTGGCTTTGAGTAGAAAAACTGACATAGAATATCTTTATTCAAATGTCAAATGGTTTTATGAGATCAATAGACCTCTTTAATACTTACTTTTTATACCAAATCTTTTTAGGGATTTTTTATCAAAAGATACTGTTTATCAAGGCGCTATCTACAATTAGTAAATAAATCAGAAATTATACAATAATCATCATATAATGTAATGTGTGTGTATGTAGGACTACGTATTATAAATTCATTATATAAGCAATGTACAAAACTTTACTGACATCATATTCTAAGCTCTACTTAATAATTCATATGTGCAGCCATTAGAATATATAATGTATTTCTATGTAATTCAAGGGAAACAAGTCAACTTGAACTAACGTCGCAATATCAAAGTCGGCAGACGCATTCATTCCAGTTCCCTTTGTCCTTTTACGGTACGTTGTATTTGTTCTACTAAGTTGTGGTCTATACCTTACATAGAACTAGAAAGAATTCACAACTCTTTAATAAAGTAACATTCCGTTATTCTAGTTACGTTACAGGCATACTCAATACTAAATCAAAAGTTATTTTATTAAGGTAAGATGTGAGAGTGTCGAGAGTTAAATAATTCCCGTATTTCAAATACATTGAATTTTAATCATACACACCGTAAGAGCCAAAGGAATGTCACTATCATAGAAATAAATAATGCCTCAATATAGTTACTTGCTTAGTTACGTTGGCTTTGATATCTATCGGTCTGTTTAGGTGGTGGTGTGTACGGAATTTTCAAAATTATTCATGAGCAAAACAATCTGATGCCGGCTTCACGAGTACCTACTAAAAAGGTGTTTTAAAAATGTTCTTGTTTTTTCGTAAAATACCTGTGCGATCTGGTTGGATGGCATTTCGTCTTGGTCACATGCGAACTGGGGCGGTGGAGGTAACACAGGCGGCAGGGCGCGCGGCTGCGTGCGGAGCCCCACGGGGCCGGCGCCCGCGCGCCCCTGCATGCGCGTACACACACACTAACACTACCCGCCGCACACTAGCGCATGCCTTCACTGTTCTGCACTTAAGTGACTTTTCACTAGACTCAGAAATCAGAATCGAGAGATGGTCCTTATTATACCGGATTATAAAATTGCAAGCAACTATCGATTACCTCCTTTAACGATAAATGCAAGACTATTTTTTCAAAACTAAAGGAATAATAACAATTTGATCAAATACTGATGAAACATATGAGCTGTTTAGAGTACATATATTAAACTACTATAAACCACTGTATTGCATTAAGTTAACGCATATTTATCTGTATTGCATTTAATAACGCAAATATTATATTTTTATCACGCGAATCACATTTGGAATGGAAAAAGTTTAAAGACTTGAATGATCTTACTTCTTTTTATATTTGTTTGCCAAAAATTTTAAAGACAATATAAAAAATAAAAATTCCGCTGCAACTTTCAAAATAGGCCATCTCATTGAAATCAGATGACCCAATTCCTAAGTAGGTAGATATTACTAAAAATGGGAAACCAAGCGTTTATCAGCTTTCAAAATATCAAGAATTTCAGTGCAAATTCTACCAATAAACTAGGGTACCGCTACCGGCATCAACGAGCAGAACTTCCGCATGACTTCTCGAATTAGGTCAGGGAGTGACGGAACAAATGCGTATTACAAATACGGGGGTAGTAACCAAATGAGGTTACTGGCGTCACATAAGAATATTTAACGAAAGGTAGGACCCATATCTAGGTTACACTCGGATATATTAGCAAAAAAAATCAATTTCATTACCCTTTCAATAAAAGTTAAACAATGATTGATATCACATTTAACTTTTTTATTATTAAGGCCAAACAAATATCGTCAAAACCTCAGGGTTGTCATTTCCATCTTCGGAAATGGAAAATAATTTTATTTTTGTCTGTGACGTCAGCTTTGTCTTTTTAATTATAAAAAGTTTGCTCATAATACAAAAGCATTATGCAGTTTTTTTTTTCATATGTTCTACAATGTATTAATTTACATAATATGTAATAATTTGAAATTTAATTTTTAACACCTAGACAACATCTTGTGTAGGTACAGACGAGGAATTTAAATAGTTTAAAAAGTAATGATTCTCTTAATATAGACTCGTGTTCTATTATGCATTTATTAAGACTATATTGTTTTACCTTCTACCTGCCTATTGTTCTTACTATAAAACAGATATTTTTATTTACTTCGTTCTGAATTCGCTGTATCCTATTATTTCCAAGGCAGGTATATTTGTTCAAACGTTTGAAAAGGTTTATTAAAACGTGAACTCGACTGTAAAAACGGAAAACGCTCAAAGGGATATTTTTCCTTAATTCTTTGCAGAGTATACATACGCAAAGATCCGTACGAGGTTATTAAAGTACACTGTTTACCTAACCTACCTTTATATATTGAATTATATAGATCGTTCAGAAATAAATGTACATACATATATATAATAGAAAAAGGTACAAAATCTTTATGCAGCTGTTAATAAGCTCAAAAGTCCCATTCCATTCATACGTTATATGAATTTCGCAAAAACAAGAGAGTTTATACATTCAGTGCAGTCAATGTTCTCTTGTTTTTTTTGTTTTTTCTTGTGAAAGTCAAGGAACGAGCCATCGAAGGCGTAAGTGAAACGATACTGACACAGCATAAATGCAATGATTACTCCTCATCGTGTGGTAAAAGTTGAAGAAGGTCATGAGACGCTAGAAAATAAAATTTGAACCAATGAGTTTCATATAAAATATTGTTTTATTTGAAGCCACAAAAACGAATTAAATATAAAACGAGAATCATCCCGACAGCATGAATTTATAGATTTTTTTTTACAATTTCGAAATATAAGAAATGATACAAAAGTAGTTTTTTTTTAATTCGGGCTTTTAAAAATATATATATATATACATACCTACATCAAGCGGAGTATGATTAAAATACGTGTTTTCTTTTTTAAAATAACGTTTTACCTAAAAAAATATTTTTTGTATATAATAGAATTATTTAAAAGATTCGAACAAAAATCCCAACTTTAATAACGTCGACAGTTTTATTTCCATAAATATTAGGAGCTCTACAACAATAATAAGATAAAATAATAAATATGTATAACAAAACAAAATTTACTTATCAAGACTTTATGCCGTTATTGGCGTAATGATAAAATAAATAAATCAATTCAATTATTGGTATATATTATTCAATATATAGATTCCTAACACCCACACACATGTCAGTTTAAATATTTTTAAACGGCTATTTTTTTTTATCATCGTAATATATCAGGAACAGATATATCATAAATAACAATAATAAAACTAGTGACTGAACAATTTTTGAACTCATTTGTTTCCATAATACATGACCGGATGCATTGTTTAGAAAATACATAAAACATTTGTATTCCTTTGACAGGAATGCTCCTGTAACGAATTAAGCTGACTATCCCTTCAGAACAAATAGAGTTCTTTTCCAATTATAGTTTTGAGGAATGTAACAATCTGTTTGTGTTAGAAGCAAAGGTAAAATGTGTATTTTCTGATCACTTGAAGTATTTGTAAGTTTTTAAAGATCGATTTTTTAATTATAATTCCAACACTCCTCCAATTAACGAGTGCACTCTTATGTTTTATGTGTGCATTTAAAAAAATAGGCCACACTAGTTATAACTTAATCTAGCGAATTTAATAACGCAAATGTCAATACACACCGTGCGTGACCTATCTACTTGTGCTATATTTAGGACAAAACAAATATTAGGTTATAATAAAAGTAGCTCCATAGACTTAAATCACATAATATCTGGCTTAAGAATTTTGCGCATTGAGCCGCGCCGACTTTGAGGTTTAGACAAAAACCTGTACCTTTCTTCAAAAATAAAAGCACTGTTTCAGAGCAAATACTTCGACATAAATAACAAGCAGGTAATCAGGAGAGAGAGGGATTTTTTGTTTTATTGGAAGTAATAATGTATTTAGACGCTCGGAGGGCGGGTCTCAGTTAGGGCGGCGAGACCGGGCGACACAGCGCCTCGCGCGAGACTGTCCCGTCTCGCCGCCCTGCATCACTTGCCACTCACACCCTCCCGCGCGATAACAAAACACAGATTACTGAAAACACTTTTATTAGCCAAAATGCTACTTAAGCTTGGATCGTTCTAGTAAACGGCACTCAGCACGAAAGGTGCTCTGGAACAGTTCAAATAATCTATATAAATAAATTTCTACACCAATTTTTGGTTGTCACACCTGTGTGATCTGCAAGGTTCGGTTCGGTTGCACATTACGCCGAGGGGGACGACGGGGTGTTCGTTGGCAACAGTCAACAACGGTCCGAAGGCGCCGAACGTAACTTGCCCGAGATGGTAACTTAAACCACTTTCTTGATTCACTAGCACCAAATGTAGAAACCATTCTATCCCCAGGCTTAGACGTGTCGTACACTATTTTTGGGCTTTCTGCCGTGTCAGACCGGGGTGCTATACGGTATTTAGCTCCTGTAATTACTTTTTTTATTCCGTTAAACGCGCGCTCTAGTGGTGATTCATCGTAATCCGAAGAACTTTCCCTATTAATAGGAGTAAACTCTATTGGCGGTGGAAAAACGTTCGTGTCGCGCTCTTCTCTTTTTATAATTTTTTTGAGTCTAACAAAGAGCGAAGGAGGAGGCTCCGTATTTGTTCCAACAGTGCACATTCCAGGTTTGTAGTCACGTTCTATGGGGATGGTTGTAGGAGAATATGGTTGAGGAGGTAATGTCGATGCTCTTCTCGGAATTAAATCTTCATCTTTCAAATATGCTATGTGTAAAGTGCTAATGCTGAGCGGCTGTTGTACAGATGCAGAAGGCCACAGCTCCCTGGTAGGAGGTACCGGAGACGGCCGCTCTCCCATCATGCGACGTGCCAATTCACCTGGTTGCCAAAGATTACTAGGCGTCAAACCCCCGTGTGCTTCCATTCCGACACGATACTTCACTAAATGTAAGACTGCCCACTAATCCAATACTGGGCTTCAGGCATTTCTAGGTTTTCCTACATAATATTATAGACTCACGTACACAGTGTACCCGTTCTTAATTGGATAGACGTTAGACATCTAAATGGATATTAAATATTATTGTAATGAGATATGCAATTACAAAAATTAACCGGTTTGAAAATTCATACGTCGTTTAGTAACGATAATGTTAACATTCATGTAAAGTGTAAATCTAGGACGAATTTAAATAATTTATCTGCGAGAAGTTTATACATAACTCATTTTCTAAATACAATACAAGTTATATGTACTTTCACCCTTATTCTAGTTGGTACATACGCTCAGAATAACAAAGTTAGAATGATTAGTGTACCATTATTTGCGTTACAGTAGTAAATCAATGATGAAAGAAATTATTATACTCTAAGTAGGTAGGTACCATTCTAAATTAATTCTTTCATTATCTCCCTGAGGACATTGGGCAAGCAATTTCTGTAACTAGTTCATTTTTATTGGAAAAATAATAACTTTGGTTTATTTTCTTGAGGTTATTTAGTATATAAATTGTTGTTTTATGATTTTTATAATAAATGGAAGAAAGCTAAGTCATTTCTGCTAGTAATCAAGTTGTTTCTTCACCAACAAATTTCAGCCAAGTTGGTAAGAAATTACAACCTATACCAATTTTAATGACTGATTTAATTAGTTTATAATTTGTAGGCACAGCCATACCAAAAAATCCAATCCAAAAATAATGATGTCAACTAACAACAACACACAAGTTAAATGTAGTTCCTTCTTACCAATTGCTGTTTGAGATTACTAGACAAGTAATGAAAGGCTTATAAAGTCGGGCTAATCAATTAGAATCATAAAAGTTGTGTCAATAAAAAAAATAAAATGTTTATTTTCTAAGATATTATTAAGGAGCTGCAACCACTACAAAATGTGACATATTGAAAATAACTGGTTCCAGGCCATTTTCCTTGGTGACCAACAACTTTTCCTATTCTTATAAATATGATATGCAATACTTTTATTACATCTCAATCAATTTAATAGTAATAGGCAGGATAGTAGTTGAGAAAAATCTATTAAAATATCTTAATAATGCCCATCTCTGTTCTAGGACTTTTATAACCACTTATATCTCTATCATAATTAGATTATCTCTGCAAGAATCATTGACTTCAACATTGTCTCATTAAATTTTTAATCAATCTTTCACATACAAAGCAGCCACCACAGCTTAGTCAATAGTAGACAATGAACATGGTATATAAAGCCTTGATATTTCCAGCACAACTGATTGTGTAGTAGGCACAGGACTTTCTAAATCTTCTTTGAAGGATTACAGCACTTCAAGAATCTCAGACTTGTTAATTGATATTGAATTTCATTTAATTAATTAACATTTCATTACACACCAATGAGTGTATAAATATACATACAATAACTTTTACTTGCTGCTTTTTTTGCTTAAGTCTAATCACACTTACCTTTAGTGGTCTTGTGATGGTGACTGTTTCAATCATAGTTGTTGATGCCATTCTGTTGTTTTCTTCCCCTAAAACATGATGACCGTTTAATTTATTTGGACTAAACAAGGATGGTAAAAACCAGGTATTAAATATTACAAAATAAAACAACCTGACCTATAAACAAATGGGATAAGCCTTATTCACGTTTTTTATATAAAGAGTAGATAGAGTCAAGATATATTGAAATTATTAACTAAATTGTATTATACGCATGGACATAGTCATTCAAATGGTATTTACACACCTTGTAATTCACAACAAAAAAAGGACAAGTTTTAATATTTTAGTGGTTGTTTGAAGAATGTATAAATTTGGAAATGAAAAGCTAAGCCTCCATAAAAGGATATAATTTATTTAAAACCAAAATAAGAAGAATTTGTCTTTAAAACCAAATTGTGAAAAAATTTAGAAACAAATATATACTTACACATTTGGACCATTTAGTAGTCTTTATGATATACAAATAAAAATAATATTTACGGTTAAATAAGGGAGAACTACATGTGAAAAGCTAATAAATATTCTTTACTTAATGTTTTTATCTTAGTGTACTCTACAAAATTGCAAACAACTAATATCCAGTCCATAAACAAATAACCAAGCCCTCATAGCAGAGCACAGACTAGGAAGGCTACCATTACACTTGACACTAGACAGTATACAGCACAGAGTACAATATCATAATATTGACAGCTGACAACTGAATTGTAATTTTTTCTTTCAATGAATTGTCAATAGGCAGTCATAGAAAAAGAACTATTACAAATACCCTCCTTAAAATAGGGAACCTTAAGTTGGCGGGGGGAAATTAATTTTTTGCACTTTTTTTTGGCTCTATCAACTGTTCGTTAACTGTTCTTCATTGTTCTATCAAAAAATTTTTTTGTTCGTTCTTATTTTTTTTTTAATTTTAAAAAAATTTACCCTCAATTTGGCACGAACTATAGATATTTTGATGTTTTTTTGTTTTTTCTAATAGTTTAGAACTATTCAATAACTGTTCGTTCAAAATAAACAACTGTTCGGCTTTCATTATCCTGTAATTTAATAATAATTAACTTTTTTTTATAAATCTTAATTAAATGTTATTGCGCATGCGCAGTATCAATGCGCATAGTTCTCATAAATTATGCGCGGCCTATTTGAATTCGATTCAAAGAGACAACACAACAATAACAGCAACAACAACAAAATCATCATCATCACCCGGTTTTTACTTTCATTTATATTTTGTTATTTTATACAAACAAAATGAACTCTTTCTTAACATCTAAAATCGTATTTCTTGTACTTATCCATTCTTTTAACATTACTGATTAAATATATTGATTGAGAAAAATAGAAAAGGATTAGTCCCATGCAAACTATAGGTCTACCAGAATCTGATGGCAAAAAAAAGTTTAAAACTTAGCGATTTGCATGTGGCAACAAAAAAAAAATTCATCTGTCATCTGAAATTTCGAGGAATTGTTTTTGGTTTGGCTTCAAATTTACTTTAAAAAGTGGTGAAAATGTCGAAAAAACCTCTTCGATCGCAAGCAAGAAATATTGTTTTCAATGTTTATCAAAGAATACTTGATCAACAAGGTGCAGAACATACACAATCATCGATATTGAGCCCATGTCACTTGCACATTGAGTGGTTAGTAGGAATGACACGTCTTGATACTTTGGTTTATTGGATTTTCGTGTGTATTATATTATGTACTTATATAAACTTTGGTTTATTTCAGGGGTTTCTAATACTACCTTAAGATGAATTGTTGCCGAAGGCTGATCTAATAAGGGCGTATTTAGTACGCCCGGTAAAACCAGGAAAGGTGGCAAAAAAAATAAACTTGGATAGATTTGATTTCGAATTGAAAAAAAACTAAATATCAGATAGATGAGATTTTTAAATCACACGGCTCCGAAGTTTTGAGGCTCCCACCATAACATTGTACGTTAAACCCCATAGAATTAATCTGGGGACTAATGAAACAAAAACTTGCGGGTAAAAACGTCAATAGACCTGCAAGTGATATAAAACTATTAACAAAGAAATGATTTAAGAAGCTTACTCTCAAGTAGGGATCGATGAATGGCGAAAATCTTGTGAACATGTAATAAAAATTGAAAATCAGTTCATAGAACAAGATCAGTTAATTGAGATGCAGGAGGATAGGTTTATATTAAATACTGCGTCTTCTCCTTCATATAAAGACATTTTTATGGATGTGCAGAATTTGGAACCATTTCTAGTTCAGTTCTAATAGCCTATAATTAATGAATAAACTCATGAACGGAGTAATTGGAGTTTTCATCTAAATTTCAAACCCCACATTCGCCACAGTAAAATTTTCAAATATTATCCTTGATCATTGGATAAATTTTTATATTTGCATGTATCACACACAATCAGCCGATATAAGGGAAATAAAGTATCAAAACGTTTTACTCCAATTTCCCCGGTATTGCTAGCGTCAATTTCTTTTTTCCCTTTTTGCCATCAGATCCTGGTAGACCTATATATATTTATATATTGATACAATATATTCTAGAACCAATTTCTTTTTCATTCTCAGTCAATATTTTTAATTATTAATTATTATTATGACAGCAAGTCAATTTGACAGACCTAGCGAACAGGCTCGCTAGGTCTGTCAAGCTGACAGACTAAGGAGGCAGATAATGTGGCTGGCTTTTTTACATTAAGTATTTAAATTTGAGAAAATATACCTTTATTGATATTTTGCGTTTTAATTATTATCTAGCTATCAAACGATTTCTAAGAATTTTGTTCAAGGTTTCTAATTAGTAACTTATCCTCCTGGTACTAATAGATGATGATGATGATTATGATGATTTTGTTGTTGTTGCTGTTATTGTTGTGTTGTCTCTTTGAATCGAATTCAAATAGGCCGCGCATAATTTATGAGAACTATGCGCATTGATACTGCGCATGCGCAATAACATTTAATTAAGATTTATAAAAAAAAGTTAATTATTATTAAATTACAGGATAATGAAAGCCGAACAGTTGTTTATTTTGAACGAACAGTTATTGAATAGTTCTAAACTATTAGAAAAAACAAAAAATTATCAAAATATCTATAGTTCGTGCCAAATTGAGGGTCAATTTTTTTATAATTAAAAAAAAAAAATAAGAACGAACAAAAAATTTTTTTGATAGAACAATGAAGAACAGTTAACGAACAGTTGATAGAGCCAAAAAAAGTGCAAAAAAATTAATTTCCCCCTTAAAATAGCAATGAAGGAATATGTTGATCCCTATTTTTATCACTGTCATGACTAAGCCAACATTTGCTGTAGTTTCTTGTGTACTCCAAATTTTCACTAATGAAGTAAATAAATAATAAAGTATGCACTCCATCCCAAACCTCTAATTCGTATGTGAGAATACCATGACTTTACAATAATCTCGCCAGAAATATTATT